TGCCAATGCAGATAAAAATAATAGAAATTCTGAAGACTCCTTTTTGCGCTTGACCCTTCACTACCAATCGGATCATTCTACAGCTACCCCCCCCCTCCCGGCTTTAAATATTTTTTTTATACCTAAAACTTTTATAATCTTAATTTAATAAAACATGCAAGTACGTGTTGTATTAATTGCTTTTGATTACTTTTGCGCAGCTAGCTTCGATTTATGAGACCCCAGTATGGCTCAATTTGCGTGAACCGGGGGGGGGGGTAATACATATCTCAATGGTAGAATATTCGACTGAAGATCTAGAGCTTGGTCGTTCTCATTCAATCAGAAAAATATGTCTCTTAAGAGACAAATACTGTATCGATTAATGGGTGCTTGAAATCAGGCTGATCACGGGCTTCTTATAGTTCGTTGGAATATTAAAAAACTAAAATTGTTAGAACAGAGGAGGCTGAGGCATTCCAATCCCATCTATAACTACAACGATCTCGTGTTTTATTGACTCTAAATCTTAATTACTTAGGAAACACTAGAACCTCTTCATGATCCCACATGTGCATATTGCAATCCACTCACCTCCACTTACGAACAAACCAGCCATGCAGAACAACACTTTGAATACGTTCTCAATGCCTTTAGCCCACAATAATGCGCATCGAATTCAAATAATTAAATAGACACAGAATTTGCTTAAACGCCATTCAGCATAAAATGAGAAATGGTCTGTGCTCTTTGCAAACAACCGCTCCAGTGAGGCTAAACTTCTGGCACACACACAAAAAACTGCTTCAAAATGCTCAAACCCACCAAGAGAAATGTTAGCAACGCTTGACTTGAGTTGCAAAAAGATGTTACGTTAGCCTTAAGAGGAAGTCGTTTTTAACCACCCCTTCTACTAAGTAATATTAAGTAGTGCGATTTGTCTTCTCAATCACTGCACGATGAAACGATAAACATCGAACTCGTGACCTTGGCGTCTAAGCAAAAAAAGGTATTTAACTCACCAGAGGTATCTGTCAGACCATCCTGAAGAATAGCAATCCTTTTCGCAATAGACAGAGGTCTAACCACAGCCCTATTAGCGAGTATAGTGAAGGCAGTTTTGCGGACAGCGTCGGAGACATCACGACATCGTTCGACGACAGAGGTAAGAGTGAAAGTGGTGAGGACAATGGCAGCCAACGAAGCACGGCGTACATCAGAGGAGGTATCATGACGACATAGCCATAGTAATTGTTCAATCACGGGGCATTTCTTATCCGTGGGATTCTGCAAACGAGCCAGTCCCAAAGCAGCTTGCACTCGCACCATGGGCTAAAATGTTAGGAAAGCGAAATTTTACTTGTTGGCCATTCCCCCCCCCCTCTTTCTACTTTTTCGAACTGTATGTATAAATAACTTGCTCAACAGGGAAGATCTGACAACCGAGCAGAGCTTTGATCATTTAAAGACAGGCTGAATTATGAAGAAAGGCGATTTTAAAGTAAGATCCAATGATAAAGAATAAGGACAAACTCTTTTGCGGCGTCAATATTCTTACAACGTGAAATGAGACCGACTCTGTGGCGCAACGGTAGCGCGTCTGACTCCAGATCAGAAGGTTGCGTGTTCAAATCACGTCAGGGTCAAGACGAGGTGCTTGCTCCACGCCGAGTGGGTTTTTTGGGGTGTGCGATAGACTTACCTCCACGTGGTGCATCCTGACAAGGGGTGTGCGATAGACTTACCTCCACGTGGTGCACCCTGGTGGGTGTGCGATAGACTTACCTCCACGTGGTGCACCCTGGGAAACGTATACTCATACGGTAAAAAGTCTATTAACCGGAAGTTTGTGTGCGATAGACTTACCTCCACGTGGTGCACCCTGGGCAGCGTATTTTCTTACGGCAAAAAAGTCTATCACTCGGCTTTCGTTATATTCATACGGCAAAAAGTCTATTAACTGGCAGTTAACTAATACTCATACGGCAAAAAGTCTATTAATCGGCAGTTGACTCTGACCCCACTGTATGTCATATTCGACTAACGGCAGTTAACTTCTCACTTAAAACTACCATCACCCCACTGCACGTCATATTCGACTACTTCCACAGTACTCACCTCACCTCTCTTCTACCTTTGTGTCTGCCTCTTTTACATCTTCAAAACACTCTTCTGCCCCCACCCCGCCCTCTCGACTTTTTTCTCTTTGATGTTCCTTCCCCTCTGTGAAGCCTGAAGTCAACTAAAGGGCTAATGATAGCCATCAAGACGCCTGCCACTTGACATAAACATCGCGAAATGAAAAGCAATGGAATACATTCGATCAAAAAAAATCTACAAATATCAGAGTATACGAATAAACGGCTTCTTAAAATTGATTGTGAAAAGCACTATGTTTACTTTCTACATCGATTAAAACGAAATGATTGAAAACAACTCTCCTATGAAAAAAATACAAGCATCTAAATGTTTAGAAGGCTTCAACTTAAAGAATTTGAAGTCCAAAAAAACAAGTTATTTGAATACAACGACCAATACGGAAATATATGCTCAGATCGAAGTAAAGTAATTTTAATGCAAAATTCAGGTCAGCAAGTTCTATAGCACTCTAAAAATAGATATATTTAAAATTCAAGTAAACCTTCGAATGGCACAGGTTCCTCCGTTATTGTTTTTACATAAAAGCTCATTAATAAATGCAAATGCGTATCTTAATTTGGTTAAATATATCCCTTAGCTGAAGACCAAAAGTACACTTCAAGATCAGCAGCAAAGCATACAAAGAAAGAGATTTTCTAAAGTAAGTATTAGCCCTCGCAGAACACATACATCAACCTGAAAGCCAATATT